AAGATTGTCACATCCATCCCACCACTCAGGTTCACTAAGATTGTCACATCCATCCCACCACTCAGGTTCACCAAGATTGTCCCATCCATCCCACCACTCAGGTTCACCAAGATTGTCACATCCATCCCACCAAGCAGGTTCACTAAGATTGTCACATCCATCCCACCACTCAGGTTCACTAAGATTGTCACATCCATCCCACCAAGCAGGTTCAGCAAGATTGTCACACCCATCACACCACTCAGGTTCACCAAGATTGTCCCATCCATCCCACCACTCAGGTTCACCAAGATTGTCACATCCATCCCACCAGTCAGGTTCAGCAAGATTGTCACATCCATCCCACCACTCAGGTTCACTAAGATTGTCCCATCCATCCCACCACTCAGGTTCACCAAGATTGTCACATCCATCCCAACACTCAGGTTCACCAAGATTGTCACATCCATCAAACCACTCAGGTTCACTAAGATTGTCACATCCATCCCACCACTCAGGTTCACCAAGATTGTCACATCCATCCCACCACTCAGGTTCACCAAGATTGTCCCATCAATCCCACCACTCAGGTTCACTAAGATTGTCACATCCATCCCACCACTCAGGTTCACCAAGATTGTCACATCCATCCCACCACTCAGGTTCACTAAGATTGTCACATCCATCCCACCACTCAGGTTCACTAAGATTGTCACATCCATCCCACCACTCAGGTTCACCAAGATTGTCCCATCCATCCCACCACTCAGGTTCACCAAGATTGTCACATCCATCCCACCACTCAGGTTCACTAAGATTGTCACATCTATCCCACAACTCAGGTTCACCAAGATTGTCACATCCATCCCATCACTCAGGTTCACTAAGATTGTCACATCCATCCCACCACTCATGTTCAGCAAGATTGTCACATCCATCCAACAACTCAGGTTCACCAAGATTGTCACATCCATCCCAACACTCAGGTTCACTAAGATTGTCACATCCATCCCACCACTCAGGTTCAGCAAGATTGTCACATCCATCCCACCACTCAGGTTCACTAAGATTGTCCCATCCATCCCACCACTCAGGTTCACTAAGATTGTCACATCCATCCCACCACTCAGGTTCACCAAGATTGTCACCTCCATCCCACGACTCAGACTAACCCAGATTGCAAGATTGTCACCTCTATTCCACCACTCAGGTTCACCAAGATTGTCCCATCCATCCCACC